AGTAACAAACTGTCAATACTTTGAATGACCTCTGCTTCTCATCTCTTCCCTCGTAGCTACTGTAAAATTTTGATGGTCAAAGTGTTGGTCATAGTGATACTGTATGGTTGCTGTATTGTTTTAATGCTCTTAGGGCTTTTTTAATCTTTCAAAAGGTGTTGGTAAGGAATGGTGAACAAAAAAAAGTAAAATTCAATTTTGATAGTTATTGCCTATAATTTTAGTTATGACTTTTCCTTTCCTATTAATGCCTCATGTAATTGGAAAGTTGAGACAGTCGCAGAGAACCCTAATAGTACAAACTAGTTGCCTTGTACACTTGCTGTGAAAGTGGAGCCTTTGGTATTGCCTCTTGCCACAAAACTGGTCATCCAACATAGCCCACCCATTACAAATTTTTGATGAAAGCTGCTATTGTATTTCTGTGCAAGCTTGTTCTGCAGGCAGTGTAGTGAGATCCTGGGTGGATTTATTTTCTTTAGATGACTAGCCAGTTATCAGTGTTGCACCATCAGAAATAAGACAGCTGCAATCTTGAACCTTTACACCTAGCTTGTTTTTTTTTAGTTGTCAGGAGTGTTAAGATGGTTTTTGGACTGGCTATGTGTAGTTTTTCAGACAATTTTCAATCCACAAGGAATGTGTTTCAATGGTCTCTATTTTGTTTTGTGGAAAGATACATCTGTGACCTTAGCAGTTAGGAGACCAAAGCAATTTGCACTCTATACCATCCCTAACAAGTTGTCATCAAGAGAGGTGCTCAGTACCAAAAATATTTCCTCAAGGGAATGCTGTACTAATGACTGGAAATTCTTCATTTCATGAAGATTGGACAATATTGGCAGATCAGCCAATGGTGAGAAATTTGCATTTCAAACTTTCTCTTTAACAAGCCAGTATGCTGTGTTAGGTGCCTTGAACATGAGGTCATCTCTGTTGAGTTTCTTTTCTTGCCCTTTTTTTTTTAATGAAATATAGAGACTTGATCCTGTATTTCAGACTCAATGGGATCTTTGTGATGCTGGATGTGGCTGCCTCTGAATGTTACACTAGCTAGGTTCGAAGGAGTTTCAACTAAAAAAATACTACTGTGGTCATTCACAAGATCAACACTTTAATCTTCAGAAACAACTTAAGTTCTCCTTTACAAATGCAAACGACCAAAGGTTTGCATTGATGGAAAACTACGCATCACACCTGTGATGAGGCGAAAACATGGCTGCCCTCGTGGTTGAGCGGTCACCTGGAAATTTGGTGACAACTGCTGACCTTACTAATCGCTTACTACAGTACAGCTGTAGTAACATGGCTCCTCAACTGCCTCCGTGCAGTTCCAAAGAACAGTAAACATACACAATTCTTGAGAACTCTGACTTCAACGCACTATTGGTACTATACTCTAAAAATGGCTTCTTGAAAATTCATGAAAACTGTACTGGAACCGTTATTGAATGATTAACAATTAACTTAAACTTAATTGTTCAAAAGCATGTTCAATAGTCCTAGCAGTCTTCAAGCATTCTTTCTTGGCTCCTCAATGGGGACATCCCCGGTCTCTTGGTGGAAATCATCCTTCTCTACCACTTCATCTGCTGTTAAAAGTACAACAAGTTTGTGTATAGGTCTGTTTAAATATGATGGCGGGCCCTGCCATTTGCCATGATCATCCAAATGTCTATCTGCCATTAGCAACTTGACCGTTCTGACTAAGCCATCTTCACTGGGGTAAATGTGCACCACTCTGCCAAGTGGCCACTTGTTGAGTCCACTTTTGTCTGACTTGGAAACTTTGAAAAAATTCATTGGCACAGTATTGCACTCTTCTCCAACATCTGTGACAATAGATATCGCCTCTTTGAAATTCTCTTATAGGTGGTAACACTCGCTTGGATTTCATTGTGAGGAGATGATCCGGTGTTAATGGCCCTGGAGCCTCCACGTTACATAGATGATCAACACTGAGAGGTCTTGAGTTGATAATGCATTCGACTTCTGTTATGAATGTATGCAAAGTCTCATCATCGAGTTGGCTCCTGGCCTTTGACAGTAATGGTTCCAACGCATTGTGTACACTGTGGACCAACCGTTCCCAGCTACCTCCCATATGACTGGAATGGGGGACGTTCATTTTGAATGGGATCCACTGACAACCATTCCTTAGAAAATACTCATGAATGAGATCTTGATCCATCTCGGACATCGCTGTCTTTAATTTGTTTTGTGCCCCCATGAAATTTGCTCCCTGGTCGGACCTCAACTGCCCACAGTGCCTCTCTGATTTATGAAACAGCTCAATGCATTAATGAAGGAAGACCCGTCCAGGGAATTGGCAGTCTCCAAGTGAACACTTCTTGACACCATACAGGTGAACAATACTCCATAGCACTTGACATCACTTCTCCTCTCTTTAATGATGAACGGTCCAAAGAAATCAATGGCACTATATGAAAAAGGGAGAGCTGGCTCAAGCCTGTTGTCAGGAAGAAAAGCCATCTTCTGCAGCTCTGTGGGTCTGCGTAGTCGTCTACACGTTATACAGCTTGATATGAACCTCAATACTGTGGAAGATCCACTGATCAACCAATAGCCACCTGGACGAAGCTCATTATGTACCATCCCGTGACCCATGTGATTCACTTTCAGGAGGTGATGTCGAATCAACAGATTGGTCAAATGGCCCTTTTGTGGAATAATGACTTGATGCTTCATATCAATCGGAACATTTGCTCTTCTAATACGTCCACCAACACAAATCAGTCCATCTTGGTCTACAAAGGGATCTAGTTTGTGCAACGAACTAGACTTTCTTGATGCTAGGCTTCTTCCTCTAACTTGCAAGTTACAGAGAATTTGAAGCTCCTCATGGAAATGTCCGTACTGCAAACACCTGATGATGGTCTTCTCTGCCTCTTGAAGTTCTGACACAGTAACCTTAGGCACTATCTTCTCAACCACTGCCTTTGACCTTGTCACTGGTTTTCCGGGCTTTTTCACTTCTCTTCCTTGAAATTTGGACTTCATTCGTAAACATAGGGCTATGACCTTCATAGCTTGGTACCATCTGGATACACCATCCAGTCTGCTTGTCTCGAAATTATCAGGAAACAGAACAACACTCTTGACTTCCATGATCAATATGGACCCTTTTCTCACTTCCAGGTCGGACTCTTGGAAACAGAACAACACTCTTTACTTCCATGATCAATATGGACCCTTTTCTCACTTCCAGGTCGGACTCTTGAAGGGGAGACACCTCTACAATTTCAGGTTTACAGGGTCCTTTCTTCCACAGAAGTTCTGGACTTGTGAGACATTGTGAATCTTCTGACAGCTGTTTTGTTGTTAGTCCTTGTGACGTGTCATCCAAAGGGTTACTGCTTGTGTCAATGTAGAACCAAGATTTTGGATCAGTTAGGTCACATATCTGCTGAATTCTATTAGCAACGTAAACATGAAACCTTTTTGGCTTCATTGATGTATCCGAGAACTACTCGACTATCTGTCCAGAAGAACTCTTGGATCTTTGGGTACTCTAACTCCATTCTCACGAAGTCACCCACTCTTGCCGAGGTGGTGGCAGCAGCTAACTCCAATCTTGGAATAGTCTTGTGTTTTAGGGGTGTTACATGTGCCTTTCCAACAATGAAAGAACAGTGAGCTTGGCCATGTTTGTTAATCAGTCTAAGATGAGAGCATTGACCATAACCATCCACTAAAGCATCTGAAAAGTAGTGCATTTCCACTGCTTTCATGGGGCCAAAATTGTTTGGCTTGAAACATCGTGGTATTTCCAGTTTCTCCAACTCTGTGATTTCTTGGCGCCACTTCTCCCACTGTGGGAGAAGTGGCTATCCCAGTCCAACTTGTCTTTGCACATCTGCTGGAGTATCTGTTTCCTTTGAGTGTTACAGGGGCTATGTACCCATTAGGATCATATATGGAGCCAAAGGTCGACAAGATGTCTTGTCAGGTCAAATCCAAAACTTCTAGGCCAGAAATCTTTCTGGTATGGATATGTGCGTTCTGTTCTTACATTGTGTCAATAGGAGCTGAGTTGACGTCCCTTGTAGATTTAACCATTTGCAAAGAGTTTCAGACATGAAACTGACATTTGAATGGTCATCTAGGACTACATACTGCAATATTTCCTTGTCTGGCTCTCCCACTGGCCTGACCCACACTGACAATCATAGTGTGATCAAGTATGGACTTGGCTTTCTGGTAAGCATCTTCTGTACCTATCAGAAGATAGTGTTCCACAGCTTGTTTTGGCTTTCCTGTTACAAACTGATTCAACATATTCAACTTGATGTCTGCTTCCATTGGTCTGGAGTCGACAAGGGCATTGAAGGCACTATTCCAAGCTGGGTATTGCAGAGGATCACCACCGAATATAGGTATAGTAATCTTTGAAAGCTGACCAGAAACAAATAACTGTTTATTCACTGTACTTTGCTGAACATTAACCTCGGCCAACCTTTCCATACATCTTTCTAACGAAGATGCCATTCTCTCCAATCCACTACTGGGAAAAGTTGTTTGACCTTGGGGATAAATACCTTGATCAAACAATGAAGATGCAGTAGTTGCCACTGGTGAGACAGATGGTGCGCAGAACGTAGTAGTAACTTGTACAGGATTGCTAACTGTTGATGCAACAACTTGAGCACAGTCACCACTTTTGGAGTGGATAAGCAAACTTTCTTATCATCTGAATGATGAGGGGAAGACGCAGGCTGTGTTGATATACTAGGAGAGGATACAGGAGCAGAAATTCGCAGATTACTTGTGACTTGTGGTGATGTGGCCGCGATTGTTACTGCTGAGGTCTGGGTCACTTGAGCCCGAGCCAATGTGCAGGTGGCATGAGCACCAGTAGGGGTTGGTAATCCTTAAAGAATCTTTCTAGTCCCTCCTCCTCACCTTCACAGGGGAGGGTATCTAAGTCTTCATTGAGTGAAGGTGTTTGTGTTCTTTTAGTCTCTTCACAGACATTTAGCTTAGTTAAGTTCAAATTCTCTCAACAGTTCAAATTCCTCCAGCTTTTGTTCCTGATGTACCTTTGCCAATTTCAGTTCCCTTTCTTGCTTAGCGAAGGCTATCTTGACCTTTAAGGCTGCCTTTTCCTTCTGAAGCTCATATTTAACAATCTTAGTCTGGGATTCAGAGTTAGTGGTAGACTGACCACTTTGTTTACTTATTTTGCTCCTATTCGAGCCCTTAGAGCTTGTAGAACAAGATTCCAATGTTGCTTGCTCCAAGTACTTTATTTCCTCCATTACATCACTTTCAAAATTTCTCCATTCACTGTGCACTTGCTCCCAAATGGCATTAACCGAAACAATTTCTTGACCCTGAGCAACTTCTTTGATCTCATGATACAAATCCTCAAATTCACTCCCGAGTACTTTGCTTAATTCCTGTTTCCTTACATGCACTTTACTACACTTTCCTTGAAGAAGCAAGGTTTTCCTCACAGTTTTGGTAAGTGCAGTTTTCTTAGACTTCAAACTGTTTACTTTCATGTCGATTTGATACTGAAGACCCTTTTCAGTTAACTTTCTACTTTGGGGTATCTCAACAGAGGAATATTTTTGTTCCACAGTTGTATAACTCGCTCAATTTTCTTCAGTAGTCTCAGGAAAATCAAGATGTAAATTGTCATTCTCAACATGCAATAATTCATCTGCAAAATGTTCCTTACGTTCCACAGAATTACTTGATTCATCATCAATGTGAGAAATAGGAAAAGGACTTACCACTCCTTCAGCAATTGTGTTCTCAGGCATCTGACCTGTCTCGAGACATAACGAGTTCCTGAATCCAGACTGATTTTACGTACGTGAACTTCTTCATTGAGGAAATAGACCTCAAAACCACTTGAAAATCTGATCCGAACCTTCTTCATGGAAACATGATCAACCAGTATCGAACAGGATTTAAGTTCTTCGCCTCGGCCATCCTTGAGTTCTTGACGAGTAGTTGATTAAGTTGTTATTGTGGCTGCCTCCGAACGTTGCACTTGCAAGGTCTGAAGGAGTTTCCACGATAAAAATACTACCGTTGTTATTCGCAAGATCAATACTTTAATCTTCAGATAACAACTTAAGTTCTCCTTTACAAATGCAAATGGCCTGAGGTTTTCATTGATGGAAAACTATGCATCACACTTGTGATGAGATGAAAACATGGCTGCCCTCATGGTTGAGCGGTCACCTGGCAAATTGGTGACAACCGCTGACCTTACTAAACGCTTACTACAGTACCGCTGTAGTAACACTGGATCATCTTATTAAACTGTTCACAGGGTGTGGCATTGAAATTTTGCATTGCTTGCATAAGAAGCAAAACATTCCTCCTCCTCCTCCTTGGTGAGTCAAACCCGAACAACCAGTTGTGCACAAATCTGTCCTATCTAGGCCTCAGCTGAGATAGTTTGGTAGCTGACAGGTGCTAATAATAGTCTCTTACATACTTGTAGAGGTTTTACATTATGATGTCTTTTGAAAGGGAACATTGTGTTTTGACTTCTTTCATAGTCAGAGCTGTGTCTCCAAGTGATCTCTCTACGTTTCGCATTACTTCCTTTGGTTTTAATATTGTCATACTTCCCTCCCTTGGTTATTGAGGAAACCAACAGTTCATGTGTAATCTAACTCTGAAACATCTTTACTTGCTTTGCACTGACATAAGCTGTTCTCTGGAAGCTTCCTCAGTTTAATATACTTTACCTCTCTCCCCTCTATTTTCACTTTATTTAGTTCTTGGTGATACTTCTGGAAAAGCTCTTCTGTGCTCTAAGGGACTCCTTTTACCTATTTTCTGAAGTGTTTGTGTGACCATGTAGCGGTGAAATAAAGCATAAGCCCGAAGGAGCTGTTGACCTTAAAGAACTGCTCATCTGTAATATCAGGTTGATTAAACATAGAAACATTGTAAAGCAACCTTACTGCATGAGCCATCTTGAATAAAACTGTTCAGAACTGACCAGGGCTATGGTTCACACCTTGATTTTGCTTATTTTGATAATTTTTTTTCTTCTAAGGCCTCTGATCACTTTTTATCTCTTCTTGATACTTGCTTTTATGTTGTGCAATATCTACACTGAGCAGATCTTGAAGTCTGTAACGCTCTTTGGTATATTTGCAAGGAATGTCAAGGGCTTGGAAAAACTTAACAACAGCAACTGCACCAATATTGAAATGAGAAACTGCCTCATACAGTCCTAATTTTAATGTATAAATTCTACCACCCTATTCAAAGAGCCATTTTGATTCTGTTTCTTGCCATGTAGGCATTTCTGCAGCAAGTCCTCCCCACTTAGTCAAACATTCAGGCTTTAGCTTGGCAATAACCATGCCTGATATTCCAGAGAAGTCTTATCCATGCAGTCATGGGGCTTACGCTGTTTATGTCCTTGGCTTCCACATGGGGACACAACCATCGTGTGACAAGCAACCCGCCTTTTGCTATTTGTTGCCAAGTTGTAGTGGAAAGATTTCTCAGTTTCAGGTGGAGGCATATTCATAATTGAGTAGAAGTGGCCTGAAATAAGACATTAAGACTGTATTTAAAGGGGAAAATTAAAAAAACCAAAATCTATATAACTAAATTTTAAGAAGAACATAAAGTATTGCAAGCCATAAAGTGATAATCTAATCTACAATCTCTCTACTCTGATTTATCTATGTTTATTTAATGTTGGTTTTAAATGAAAGTAAAGATTAGCATAGTAAAATGTTTTAAAAAAGCGAGTTCCCCAGTTTAGCACCACTTAAGGAAAAGTTTATTTGAGGTATTTGGTTTTTTACCACTTTTCCTTGATTTTCAGGCCAAGGGAACTGACGACAAAGTAAACAAACCCTTCTCCACACTGGTATGATGACCTTCAGTGTTAATGTCAGTTACTTTAGTATCCTGAATAACAATCAGCTCTAGGCCACCTTTTCATTAGAAGTTTGATAGATTTCATTGACATATACTGTTTGAGAAAAGTGTACCACTTATACTTGATCCTTGCTTCTTCCACTGCCTGCTTGCTGTTGGGGTTGTAACAGTGAGACAAATTGGCTGTTAAGCTTACTAGGAATGGCCTTAGTTGGTACGGTGTATCTGCCTTAGCAGAATCACAAGCCGTCGTCTAATGCTGTATTTACATTTGAGCTTCAACCAAGGTAAACATTTACTAAGATCAAGTTACTTAACCTTGGTTAATTCGTCCAGCGTTTATACTGGCTCAAATGACTCAAGTTGATCTGTCAACACTTGCGCCCGGTGCATTATCAGCGCAGCATAAAAAAATCGAACTGGCGGGAAATTCTAAAAACATGCTCGCTTCAAGAAGTAAAGTGATGGCTTTCGTGGCCATTGCTTTTTATTTCTTAATTCATGACCGGCAAACAGAAACATCAAGACTTCATAAGCTGTGGTTGTTACAACATCTCAAGAGGTCGAGGCAAAAACGAATGGTTTTACTTCAAATTGCTTTAAAAAATACAAGACGTGCTAGACGTGCGTGGGTATGGCCACGAAATCAGTTCTGGTTTGAGAGCCTTTTGCAAGGAGATTTCATTGAAGATTGGTGGAAAGAAAATTTCAGGATATCAAGGCATACTTTTGAGTACGTTGTACGAGTGGTTGGACTGGATTAGGCGAAGAGAGACACGAGATTGCACCAATCTATCCCTGTAAACAAGCGAGTGGCAGTAGCGTTATGGCGCCTAGCTACTGGAGACACGTATAGATCAACTGGACTGCAATTTGGCATTGGGAGGTGTACAGCTATGCTGATAACGCATGACTTTTGTGAAGCACTTGCCAAACGGGCCACAGAATTTATTAAATTTCCAGAGACTGAGCAAGAGGTGCTACAAAGCATTGGCTTGTTCACAAACAAGTCCCCATTCCCGCATGTGGTAGGAGCAGTTGACGGTAGTCATATTGCATAAAAACAGTGCCTGTCAACGAACGGATTGAATACTTTAATCGAAAGCAAGATTTTTCTATTGTTATCCAAGGTGTCGCTGATGCGTCTTTTAGATTTCTTGATGTAAGTACAGGCTATCCTGATAGCATTCACGACGCCCGTATTCTCTGTCTGAGCAAACTACAGAGAGAAATTGATCAAGGTACCTGGCTAAACGGGCCTTCAAAGATAATTAGGAGTTCCGAAGTTGGTCCTCTTCTGGTAGGGGACTCGGCGTATCCCTTGTCTGTTTGGCTGATGAAGCCTTTTAAGCAAACACCTACATTAACTGAGAGCCAATTGCGTTTCAATCGTGCCCTCAGCCAAGCCCGAGTAGTTATAGAACAAGCTTTCGGAATTTTGAAAGGTCCTTGGAGGTGTCTCTATAAACCACTGGAGGAAAAAACAAGCAGAGTCCCCACCACTATCATGGCTTGTTGTGCCCTTCACAATATTTGTATAGATGTTGGAGATCCGAGTGCTATAGACCCCGTTTAGGATGACGATGAAATGGATCAAAGTTCTTGCAATGGCGATGAGCAGTCTGACGCAAGGGGCATTAGAGAAGATATTATGAACTATTTATCATAGTCAAAACATTAAACCAAAGTTACTATTTTTATTGGAATCTTTCGGGTTAAGTTGAAACCACACACGTGATAAATTTACTGAAATCAATGTTTTGAGATTGAAATTGTCCCTTTCCATTTGTCACATGTGTAATTGAACAACAATTATATAATTCACTTGGGTTTAAAAGTTACAAAAGCTTTCTGATGTTAAAGTTTTTTACATAATTTTTTTGCTAAAAATCGTCAAAAACAAATAACTTTTGTATTTTAAAAGATGCCTAGAGGTTTAATTTGAAATGTGTATAATAATTTCATTTCCCAAAATTGATCAACAGATATTGTAATTTCCAAAATCAGTTTTAAATAATTGCAGAAACAATTGCAATAATTTTTGCCTTCTTTATATTCATCATGTCTGAATCATTGTCCTGCTACATATATAGTTGTCTTGATCCAGCATTTTGTCATGATACATAAAATCACAGTTCATAACTGAAACGAATAAAATGTTCTAATAAAACAAGTAAAGTACTTTAATCTTTCCCAATGGCAACGTCCTTTAAAATGTTTCCAAGCATCTTCAAAGCATCCATCGAAAACGTTTGTTGTTCTCTTCTGCTTTCCCTCTTGGCTTCTGCCATTCGCTCCATGAACGCCTCATCCCTCTCTTGGGCTCTTTCCAGAAATGACAGCACTGTAGGCTCATCTGCTGCTGCTGCTTTAACCTTCTTTCTGGCTGCTTTCTTTCCGTCTTTTAGACACTTTGGTGCATTTCTTGGTGCATTCTTTGGAGTACTCTTTGGTGTACTTGTGCACTTTCCTTTTTTGCCTTTGTTCTTTAAAAACAAGGATTTTGCAAAGGCAAGTGGCTGGTCTTCCTCTGAGTCAGAAGTGTATACTTCACCAGATGGGCCTGGTAGATCATCAGGATCATCGGATGCAACAACTTTCCTCTTTAAAGTTTGAGCAGAGGCAGCAGCGGCAATCTCTGCATTGAAAATTTCTTTGTCAAGAATGTCCTGATCAATTCCTAGGGTACTCTGTGATTTGATTGGGGGGGAACTACTCTCCAACACGTGTTGAGGATTGATGGCTTCTCGCTTGCCGAGAATTTCGTCCATGTCCTGAAAATGCTTAGACGCAAGCTCAACTCCGCCATCTGCTTCATTGTCAGCCTCCTCATCTCCCCCTTTTCCATAACCAGTGGTATGGAGTTTGTCTTTGGTTGTCTTGTATTTTTTTTGTGAGATTGCTCATTTTAGTTTTACATTGTTGCGCCGTCTTGTCGCTTGAAACGTGTTCTCACCAGCATCTCTTGTGTAGTTGAGTTGCAATAGATTCCCATTCTGGCGAATTGTATGCTTTATAGCGAAGCTTCTCTTCGTTATCACCGAACAACTCGATGAGAATTTTTTCAGTTTCAGTCCATCGACTGTTTTTTTTCTTTGGCGCAGTGCTTGATAACTCTTCACCAGTGGAACTCGCAGGAGAATCCGACCGCAGCGGAGGAGCAGGAGCAAATTGTGGTGCCATCATTTGTACGGGCAAGGACCTCATACCATAATATTGCTGAGGAAATTCAGCCAGTTGGTACACATGGTATGAGGGGTTATATGGTAGGTAAAAACGTCGTGGATAAGTTGAATATGCATCATCCTCCCTGGTGAGAAAATACATCGAAAATGATTACACAACGAAGGATCAAAGTTTCTCTTGCGAAAGTTGAAAATAATACCAAGCATAAAACTATAATGCCTTCTTTTCTTTTACCTGACGGATTGTTCGCCATAAGAACCATCACTTCTTTCATCCATGATTGTAACAGGTATTGTGAAACGCTTTGTTGCTGGACGACGTGACAATCGCACGATCGGCTCACCGCCGGAAGTGAAATATTACGCGGCCACAAGCGGATATATCTGTCATCTTGACCTCGGTTACCGAGCGTAACCATGCCTTTTCACATGGTAATTAAAACGAGTACCTCGGTAAACTTTCTATTGTCTTGGGCGGCATTTACCAAAGTGTCAGCTGTCGTTTACACTCACGAAAATTTTACCTAGGTTAATAAACTCTGCTACCGCAGTAAAAAGCTCAAGTGTAAACACAGCATAAGAGTTATCATTCAGATGTAAATATATATTTATATCCAGGAGTCTTCCTCTTGGTGTCACCTTTGCAAATTCAGGGATGCCTAACATGTAATAATCTTTCCAATACTCTGAAAGTGGTGACAAATAATGGATGCTCATGGCAATTGCCAACCTAGAAAAAAAATCTCCCTAAAGTCAATTCCCTTGTGGAGGTGGGATTTCTTTTCCACTTGGACTTTGAATTACAGACCTGTTTGTTTCACAAACAGTTTAATCAGCATGTAGTTGCTAACAAGGAGAAAGTAATCCAGTGGGGACATTTAAACTCAGGCAGTGCTTGTGCATTAGGAGGTGCTTCTGTCCTCTACAAACCATTAAAACAATAGTTATCTGGCCTCTTTACTGCTCTTACATCGCCATTATCTGCCTCCTCTTTTTTATCCTCATTGACGATGTTTCTTAGACCAATTTTATCATAACCTGGCTCCTGAATTAGCTTTATCCTTTTTATTTTTCAAATCCTTTAATGTAGAGTCGAAACCACCTTTCAGAATAGAGAAGTTTCTGGCAAAATAATCAGGTGATCTCTCTCCCTCTCTTATTTCTATGTACATTCATTACACTATTAACATTGCTGATCCTAGCAATATGCAGGACACGTGTCATATGAACTTTGCAATAGACCTTGCTCACTGTGAAGTCTCTGTGGCTCAGTGGTAGAGCATCATCCTGAAGTTTGCTAGAGGGTGAACGGCGACACCATATGACAGCTGGCTCTTCTAAGCATTTAGGAGAACCTCAAAGCCGGATTCGTCTTGGTAGAGCTCCAGGACAATGAAGATGACGTCTGCACTGTTTGGGGTGAGGCTCATGAGATCTCCGCAGCTGATTTTGTTACCATTAAGGCAAACAATTGTTGCGAACTGCGGGGCTATGGCTGACTGAACACTGACAGGTGCTGGTATGGGAGATGGCGTTGTTCCTACTGGCGCTGCTTGGAGCAAAGCTGCTGGTTTTCTCCTCTTGATAGTATTAGGAGTGGGTTGTTCTGGTGGTGGGAGTACATCACGGAAAGAAGCAATGAGTTCTTCGTTTCTGCACTTCACTGTAAGGAGTTATTGGAAAGGATTCACCACTCTGATCATGGCTGGTTTTCTGATACCCCAGACATTGATTGAAACTTCGTTGCCTGGCAGCAACTTGTTGAAGTTCATGCTGGGTCTCCAATGCTTCGTGGTGCGAACGTCAATCATTGTACATGGGCAAACTCAGTTGACGCTGAGAACTGCATCAAACTGTCGGCTCCAACCATCGAAGGTAACCTTGTTTCTGACTTAAGATGGTGCATAGATACTGTCGACTGTCAAGAAGACCTTCGCATTTTTTCCCGATTTCATAAGCCATAGTGCCTTTTTTCATTTTCCCCTGCCTGAAGTTACGCATGCTCTCTTTCTCTTTTCTAGCTTACTTGCATTTTCCCGTGCAACGTTTTTCAATGGGCGCGATTCCGTACTGAGCGCATCTGAAGTTCTTATCTTCTTGAAGTTCTTTAGCTTTGATTCCTCATGGGGACTCGGAATTTTTTTCTTTGTTCCAACACTCGTAATGAGACATGCTTGCAGGTGGGATTTAAATCTTGTCTTGTCAACAAATATTTGCGATAAAGCTTTATGAAAACAACTCAAACCCTGCTAAAATAGCAATTCTGTGCATATTTTGCAAAATTAACAATTAGTGACTGGTAATGACTAAAGGAAAGACTTGCGATTAAAGGTAATCAAGGTTATTCTGTTACAATAATGATACTGATAAAACTGAAAGGTTTTATATAGCACTAGTATCCTAATGTTCAAAAGCGTTTTACAGCGCCAGTGAAAATCTTAGAAAACTCAGAATAAGAATCAGTCTAAAAATAATAACAAAAGGTTTTTCAAGTCTGGTTTTTAAATGAAACTCCACATCTTAAACTCACACATCTTAGAGGATGTTTCGCAGAGGTACCACCATTAATAGAAACATATTGCATAAGATCAGACAGGTTCATGTAAGATTGTAACCATAGTAGAGGCTCACCAGTCATACCAAAAAATGAGAGAGCAGGATGTCATAATAAACAGTATCAAAAACAGGAGATAAATTATCTCCTTTCTCAAGCAATTCTTTGACCTTGTCCAAGTTATGAGCCCAGCACAAAGATTTTTCTTCATTCAGCTGATCAATAAGCCTAGAGGTAAATCTATATTGATCTTTGTTGGCTTTCCCATCAAAGCTGAGGAAGCTTTTTGAACTTTAACTTTTTTATCTCACAATATGGGAATCGGCAGTGTTGGAATTTGCCCCCTTATGATCAGATAATTAGTTGTTTAGCATTTGGTTCATCAAATCAAGGACTCTATGGCCATGGCTATATCTACAAGATTTGTCTTGATTATTCAATAGAACGGTGAGAGCTTTGACTCAGCCATCTCCTTCCAATAACTCATGACATACCCTTTAATGATCAGTTGATTATCAGCTTAAAATGCATTAGCCAGAGCACTAAAACTTAAAGCTTATTAGTAAACCATATGCGACAGACACAAGATTAATGTTGAAGACAACTTTTATGGAAATCAGTGATAGAGAATAGTGGTCATTTATATTAATCATCCGTGAGTGGTGAAACGCCGCAGTCTGTACATCTTCCTGTGAACACCCAGTTCACTTTGGTACCTCTCATTCTTGCATCCATTTCCTACAGCAAACTTAAGCTGGGCACCAACATTCAATGGATTCAATGGCAAACTCTTGAAAGTTATGTTGATCCCTGTGGAATAGGGGCAAACAAATAAGAAAAGAAAAGAGGAAAAGGATCCTGTTTAGTTATTAATGACAGCTGAGAATGGAAATAAACTGACTGCCAATAGGAAGACAAACATTTTTAATA